GAGAGAGAGAGAGAGAGAGAGAGAGAGAGAGAGAGAGAGAGAGATATTAAACAATTGAAAGATTAAAAATAATTAATACAAAAAGTAATTAACAGAAAAATAATCAAGATTAATAGGATCTTGAAAAACTAATTTTCATTGGAAACATGGAAGTTTACATTTTGCATCAACCTTCTAAATTCATTATCTTTCTTTTTTCTTTTTACCTTGTCCCCTCTGTCCTAGCCCCCTTTGTACTAGATCCCAGTACTTTTTACCTCTTTGCACTAATCCCCCTCTTGGAACGCGTTGCTGCTGAGGATGCTGCTGCTGTTGCAGCGGTTGATTTCCGCTTACTCGATGCGCCTGTTGCTGAACTGTGGATACATTATTGGACACAGACATAGACGTCGGTCCGTTGTTTGCAGGATGTAACGGCGATCTGTCGTCCACACGTAGATTCGTCAGAGGCGGCTGCAAGGAAAAGGAAATTTATCCAGTCTCTTTCTCTGCTGCTGCGAGTCATGACGCTACACGAGACGCAACTCACCGGAGACATCGACAACTTGGGAGCCTGTGGGCTAGTAGCCCCAGTAGCGGCGCTCGAGAAAGACTTGACCAAATTAGCATACGTCTTGGGCCCGCTGCTGTTGACGGTGGTGCTGGACACCTGATGCTCGGCTTCGGTCTCTTGTACGGATGCAACAAATGTTTCTGCCTCAGTCGGCTCGCTCCTCTCCTCCGTCTGAGCCTGCGGCTCGTTCTCGCTCTGCTGTTGCTCGCCATTGCTCAGCTCTGCCTCCTGCACGAACTGCGATTGAGCGGTCGGCTCGGCAATGTACGGGTGTTGCTGCGCCGGAGGCGGTGGCGGCGGTTGCTGCTGCTGCTGCTGCTGCGGTGCTTGTTGATTGATCACTTCCTCATGCACCGTTCCGTTCAGCACTTGCTGTATCACCGGATGAACCTGACGACAAAAATGGAACATTATAACTATTATTATACTATGATCCATGTGACGACCGCGGCGTAGAGAAATGTACGCTGTTCAGTAAGCAAAAATGAATGAAAAGACTCCGAGTTCGAATTCAACCTAGAACGCCGCTGATTTTCTTGGACGGATTTTAATCGAATGCCACCTCTTCTCCGAGGCAACCACTGAAAGTATTTAATATTTCTGTTCTTTGGGGTCTCCCGATTAGCGATTGGGAAGTAAGCTGACAACTTACAGAAAACCAAATGTCTTGGAAACTCAAGAAAAATCTTTCATTGAAGGCATAAAATTGGAGATGATTTGAGTTGGATTATAAATAGATCATTAGATAGATGGGACAAATTAAACAACTGAATTCTTTCCGAATTTAAATTCACAGAAAAAGAATAAATTGTTATAATATAAGCTGTTTACCAACCTTAAACAACAGTTAATTTTCTAACTATATCATGTTTGTTGTACTAACATGTGGCTGGGGTGGCGCAGCATAATACATTGGCTGCTGTTGCTGAAGCGGGGGTTGCTGCGTCGGCATGAGAGGCGGTTGAGCTTGCTCGGCCGCTTGAGTTGGAGCCGACAGCTGCTGCACCTGAGTCTGATGCTCGTCTTCATCAGGCTCGGACCGGCCGATCTCCTCGACCTCTCTCTCGCCGCTCTCGCCGCTATCGCCGCCACTCACGTCGGCTTCGTCCTCATCCGGAAATATCAGGTCTTGGTAGCGGAAGATGTCATTGTGCACGTAGTAGGTCTTGGGTGCTTGCACGGCCAGCACAAAGGTCTGGGTGAATCGACGCATTGGTTGCCCAGCGTTAGACAATTCACCGGATACCTGTGTAACAATCAAAGATAAGTGAGCAATTTATCAAAATGTGCTTGTTTGAATAATCTCAAGCAAACGTAAATATGGTTTGAAAAGTGAATTGCGCTATACTGAAACTAAAAAGGTAACAAATGCTATGAAGAGATGCATTAAGTATCCCAATGCACATTTAAAATTCTGCGACCACATTCTGTTAAGAAATAAAATACAATTGGGAGTTTTTGGTGGAAGAAAGACTTAAGTTGACTTAAGTTTTCATATAAAAATGTCACATTAAAATTTTTGTACAGCTTTTGGTTTAGCTCTTTTATGGTACGTGAAAGAAAACAACTTCGGTCGACTTAAGTCGCTCTTCCACCAAACTCCTCATTTGTGGTCATATCGTTTCCTTATATAAAGTCGACATAATTCACCTGGACAACAACGCCATTTTCCAGAGTAAGTTGAGAATCGACCTGGCTTATTTTGGCATGGCAATCGCGAAAGTTCAGCTGTTGAATCTTCTGGTGTATTTGTTTCTGACCGATCGCCGGGGTACACTCTCGATTAGAATCCAATCCGCCGTGCACGAAGGAAGAATGCTGATTGTAGAACCTAATCGTAAAATTCCTGACGATTACTACGGTGCGTAAAATATTCAGGGTTGGGTAAGTTATCTTTTTTTTTAAACTAACTTAAGTTAAAGTTAACAGCCTTGAAAATCTAACTTAGTTAAGATACAAGTTAACCCATAATGTAATTAATTGAATTAAAAGTTAAGTTAATAATACAAAAAATTAAAAAGTTAAAAGTTAAATGTTTTATTTGTACATAAAATCTCAGAGACTTACGATCACGTAAATTGCATTGAATTTTGCGACTAACAATTGGACAATTACACGGAATGTCGCCCATTTCGTATGTCAACAATTTCACGTGCGTTAGAGAATCAAAACCCCATATAATGGCTGTGCTAAATTCATTACCAGCGCTGAAGATCTATGATGTACACAGTAGATTTTAGAGCTGGCGGTGAATTTTGGAACACAGACTGTTAATCTAGGCAGACGCACGGCATCTCGCGACGCCTTCGTTTATGGCATGGCTAACTTTAAGGCCCGGTTTTTCATTTTCTGGTTAATTGTTAACCAGAGGTTGGTCGATTCTCTGCCTCTTCTCAGATAATAGCATAGAAAAGGATGCAGAGTCGACTAACTTCTAGTTAATTGTTAACCACAAGTTAGTCGACTCTCTATCTTACTTTATATTATTATCTAAACAGAGACAGAGTCGACTAAACCTCTGGTTAACAATCAACCAGAAAATGAAACGCCGGGCCGAAGAGAGAGGTAAATTAAAAGTTAAAAGTTACCGATAAAATGTAACTAAATTCAGTTAAAAGCTAACAGTCTATAATGTAGCTAAGTTAAGTTAAAATTATTCGAATGTTTAACATTTTAACTTAACTTTTATCTTTTTAACTAGGCACCACCCAACCCTGAAAATATTCCTTAACGGAGAATAACACGCGGCCCCGAGTTCGGTTTCGCTCTATACGCGTGTGATTAAAGTTTCTAAAGCCTCGTGTCCGAGCTCTAGTTCCGAGAAATGTGTAGTCAATCAACTTTTCCGTAAGAATAATCAAGCTTTTTAGTCGACATTAACCGGCCAGTGTTTTAATATCGGCGAGACGCCCGCCTAGAGAGAAGGAAAGTCCAGGTTGAAACATTGGCTGAGGTAATATCTTTCGCGATAAATTTTCTGTATTAAAACACTGGCCGGTTAGAGTCGACTAAAAAAGCTTGATTATTGTTATCAATTACTGGCAACTTAAAGAGATTTCCGTGCTTTCCGTAAGAGTTGACGATTCTTGGATCTTGGACCCGAGGCTCAAGGGGCTGCGACACAAGCCCGTCAACGCGCACGACTAACGCGACGCGTTTTACACAGTTGAAAAAAACCCCAAATATTATGAAGGGAAACATTGGAGGAGACTCGTGTACAGCAGTTTAACAAATTAATACGTCTTGAATACAAACTTGCTCCACAGCTGATAGGTAATCTATGGGTTACAGATAAAGGCGTGAAAAAAGTCTTAGATAAGCTTAGATAACTCACCTGTGGAGATGGGCAGGCGCCTGATTCAGCAACGTGTAATACTGTCGGACGAACTCGCGACCGACGCTCTGTGGAGAGGGAGATGCCTCCATGACCATCTTCTTACGCTTTTTAACTTCTAGAATATTCCTTTGCTGGGAACAGCAAACTAAACGTTCAAATGTAAAATCTTAAAATTATTAAGGCAGATATCTGAAACAAAGGAAACAACGCATTCGTTAGGGATGTAAAATTGCGGATCCACGGGAAAATTGTTTTAAATTTCCGCGGGGCATCGATGCGGTTTACAGATGCTTACAGATGCGTTATGAGGTAACAATATGATACTCCACAAAATAATTCAACGCGCGCTGAATTATTCTACGAGGTACAGTGCCATTTATAAATCCATTATTATCAATTATAATTCACATCGTGCGAACTGTTTGAACAAAATCACGGAACGCGGTCACAATGAACGGCCAGACGGAAGCGGTTTCCATCGTGCGCATAAATATCGAGTGACGAATAGGTTGACGGAATTAATTCAGCAACGTCACGTGCCGTTGTTATTAATTTTAATTCACAAAACCGTGCAAATGGTTTCGAACAAAATGACGGTGAATACGTGGTCCCGCCACGACGAAACGGCCACGGACGGAGGGGCAGCTTCCAACGCGCGCACGAAACTTGGAGAGACGGAAAGAGTTGAAATTTCTTCGGCGTAGGCCGAAGAAATTTCGTAGGCCGCGCGTGACTTCACACAAAAATGGACATGGTCAAAGGCGGGGAGTAGCCAGGCGGCCGTTTTTGGCAGACATTTTGAGAATGCACTAAATACCTGCGCGCATCATTAAACGTGCTCCGTGCACGGATACTCGACGGCGCGTTAACAGCTCAACGATTCCGCTTGGTATTTTACAATTCCACCTCTAATCGGATTTTAAATTAAGCCGGCTGATTTATTCAATACGCGCGCCGCTGCGCCACCGAATTGTTTGCGCACGACGAAAAGTTTAGCGCGCGCGCGCGCGCGCGCTCTCTCTCGCCACGCGGGGCTCGCGCGACCCTCGCGTCGGAGGTGCACGCGGTCGTTTTTTTTCTCCGTGCGCGTATCGTCCACGAGAGGAGGAGGGCGGGGGGGGGATGCCCTCGGCCCTGAATCTCCGTGGCGAGAGATCGGGACTCCGGAGAGGACCTGTCTCGTCGCGCGACGCGCAAATGATAATCGCAGCTCGGCACGGAGCACGCGGCCCCGAGCACAAAGGGGCAGGCGACGCGCGTAGCTTCGGCTCGGCGCATGGCAAAATTTTCGCGTGCCACCACCTCTCCGGTGCTCTCTCGCTCTCCTCTCCTCTCCCCCTAACCCCGCGGGCTCTCTTTCTTTGTCCCTCTTCCTCCGCGAGCCCGAGCGCGCTGGACGTTCTCGGCGTACCTTGACGAGCACGTGTCTCAACCCCGAACGGCAGAATCCGCTTCCTCGTCCTCGTCGCGCGGGACAGGGCTGAGAAAAGGGACGAGGAGCTAATCGTGAGGCACGAGGGAGGCGAGCATGCCGATGAGAGCGCGGATGCGAGGGAAGGAGAGGGGGAGAGGGGAAGGGAGAGAGAGAGAGAGAGAGAGAAAGAGAGCGCGGTCGCGCCCGGTCGCTCGCACAAGCATGGCGATGTTTCTCGATGCCCCGCACGGGAGCACACGCCAACGCGGACGGGCGGATCGCGGCGGCGCGGGGCCGGGATCCCCGGACGGAGACGGGCACGTCTCGGCGGAGCAACGCGATCCCCCAAGCTCGCGGAGGCGTGCGTGCGCTGCGTGCGCGCGTCCTGGCGTGCCTCTCGTGCTCCTCGAGGGAGCGAGGGAGCGAGCGAGCGAGCGATCACCTCGACGGACGGGCGAGCGCGGACGACGGCAACAATAGAGCGGAAGGGGGAGGAGGAGGAGGAGGAGGATGATGGCTTACCTGATTCGGGCGCTCTCGCGTGCGGCACGGGGAGACGCAGGTCTCTCGGGGGGGCACCTCGGCACGACCGGCAGCGACTGCTTTAGCGCGCGGGAGAGAAGCCGACGGTCTACGAGGGTCGGTGGGTACCTCGAGCGAACGTGCGGACGCCGCAGACACAGGGAGCCCGCGGTTCGTGGTATCAATTATAAAAACAGTTCGCGGTTTTCGTACGTATCGTGGGTAACGCGGCTTACTTGGTACTGTGTATATGTGTGTAGCGATATCGGCGGCACTGTGTCAGCAAATGCGCGCAGAGTAGCGCCAGAGGAACTGGCGACACACGGAGGCGTCGTTCGGACACAGACGGGGGGGCGCATCGGTCCGGCGGCACCGGAAGCACCCGAGCGCGCCGGTGTCGCCAACGGGAAGCCCGCGAGTCGCCGACGTCCGATTGGTCAGGGACGACGTGCGTCCCGCGCACGCGCAACGTTTCCACCGCGTCACCCCCGTTAAGCCTACGTATCAGACTACGGATTGAGATTGAGATTAGATTGAAATTTGACCAATAAGAGTAAAGCCCGTATCAGACTACGGATTGGGATTGGGATTAGATTGAAATTTGACCAATCAGAGTAAAAGTTACTGAACTTGGGATTAGTAAACTTTACTGTGATTGGTCAAATTTTAATCTAATCCCAATCCCAATCCGTAGTCTGATACGGGCTTAAAAGTCACTAAACTTGAGATTAGCAAACGTTACTGCGATTGGTCAAATTTCAATGGCCGCGTTCAGCAGAAAAAGCGCTCAGGGTGCTCTTGCATCTGATTGGCATATTCCTTAGATCTTTAGTAGATTTAAAGGAATATACTAATCAGATGCAAGAGCTCCCTGAGCGCTTAGTGAACGCTTTTTCTGCTGAACGCGGCCAATCCAATCCCAATCTCAATCCGTAGTCTGATACGGGCTTTAAGCCCATTCCACAGGCACAACTGTTGAGTGAGCGCTCAATGGCCGGTATTCATAGTCGATTCTTAATTCAAAATCATCTTAAAGCCTCCGCTACAATGATTCTCGGTTCTGTCTACAATGGTCGTAGTCGTAAGAATAATCGACTGCGATTGGTCAATTCTTATGCGTCTGACTGAATTGACCAATCGCAGTCGGCTCTGTGATTGGTTGAAAACACATTAAGAGTATACTTAAGACGATCTTAAATATCAGAACGGACTATGAATACCGGCCAATGGCCGCGTTCAGCAGGCACAACTGTTGAGTGAGCGCTCAGTATGATTGGTTAATACTTTTAGATCCAGCCAATCACATTAAGAAATCATTTAGGCTGGGTCTACATTGGATGTCGTAAGTCGTGTCGGAAGAAATTGACCAATCACAGTTCATTATTCTCCTTACAGTTGAAGAATAATGAACTGTGATTGGTCAATTTTTTCCGACACGACTTACTACATCCTATGTAGACCCAGCCTTAGCGCTCACTCAACAGTTGTGCTTGTTGAACGTAGCTAATGCGTGGCCATTGGTCATTGGCTGGATCTGAAAGTATTAATCAATCATACTCTTAAGCCCGCTGCAGACGATGCTATTTTTCCTGCTGGATTGCTTGCAATTTAGTAAATTACTAGGAATCCTGAATGCTGAGTGGTGCAATGATAGTAATTTAATAAATCGCAAGCAATCCAGCAGGAAAAATAGCATCGTCTGCAGCGGGCTTTAATGTGTTTTTAACCAATCACAGAGCCGTATTAGCATCTTAAGACAACACTTGAGGTGATTTTGAAATAAGAATCGACTATGAATACCGGCCTATATGCTCTCAGGTTTCTCGGCTGTACGCTGATTGGATTTTATCGGGCATGACGCGGCGCGTGACGCGCTCAGTGGAAACGCCGCCTGATTGCCTTCGCGTCTGCTAGGAGCGCTGACGGGCGCGCGTTTCTGCGTTCTCGATCGCGGCGTGCAAGTCCCCCCCTTCCCCTTCCCCAGAGCGCTCCGCGGCCTGGTTGCGTCGCGCCAAGTTGCCTGCTCCGCTCGGGGAGACGAGCCAGCGAGGAGAGCGGCGTGAGGTCCCGGGGCGGAGATTCGCCGATACGGGACGCTGCTTCGCGGTGATGATGTAGGCTTGCGGCGAGACCCGGGCAGACGCTTCCTCTGGTTCTCTCGGCGTGGGAGCCGGCTCGCATCAGCGACGATCGCGACGAACGAGCCCGCTCCGCGTTCCATGACTTCCCCACTCGATCACACGTGAGTAGAACGCTCTCCCCGCGCGCTCCGGCTGGCGTCGCGACGCGATGCGACGCGACGCGACCTGCGTTCGCGACCGACTCGCCCGATTGGATCCCACCGTGGGATCCACGCGGTGCAAACCCCGGTCGGACCCTCGATCGGGCGTGCGCGAGGTCGGGACGAGACGGCAGGGCCTCGCGCGCGGCCGCCTTCCCCGTCTGTGTGACAGCTCACCGTAGGACACGGTAACGTGGTTCTAGGTTAACAGAAGATGACAGTATTAGAAACGGAGGAAGACGCAGATAAACGCTCCGTTCCTCCCAGAAAGAAGTTCTGCCTGTCCCTGTCGGGTCGTGGACGCACAATCCCCATCGTCGTCCCGCAGCCCCCTCCTACATCCACGAGAGGGGGCCTTCTGGATAGAGCAGATTTTCAATTTAGTACGTATGCCTCCCTTGTCCGTTGACAACGAGCCCGCCGCTCGTCGTGTCTGGCGATTGAAACGTGTATTCTCGACGAGGCACGGCTCTTTCATCGCGCAATGATTCTGCGAAGGTACAAGCAAAATGTTGAATGGCTGTCGCAATCAGTTGAGCAATCACCAGGATGGAAGTTACGACACGTCCGGCAGCAATACAGAAGGATTGAAGATAGCCACCTTGTGCAATCTAGGAAATACTTGCTTCCTCAACAGTGTATTATATACTTTAAGATTCGCGCCTTCCTTCCTGCACAACTTGCATCATTTAGCTACTGACTTGTCGAACCTGAACGACAAGCAACTTCAGACAAAAGTAAATATTCAATTGGCGGATCGATTTGCCTACGGTATTTCAAGTTTCTTCACATAAATTGCCAATCTTTTTCCTCGTAGGCCAAATCTTCCTCGCTAGGTAGAACCGGTGTATCGCTGACATCGAGTAGTAGTCGTAGCTGGAGCAGTAAGGATCTGCTGGCGCTAGCCGGATCGACGGCAGAAGCCAGCAAACCGCGTATCCAAATAGCCACCGAGAGATTACATGAGCTGTTTATGGCACTGCGAGTGTCAGAGATTAGAGAGAACAGCGAACCGTATCAGCCGGATGCCTTTTTGCAGGCCCTCAGGTATGCAGATCATCGTCGAGACGTCGTACAAGATGTGTTTCGTGTTCGCACGCACCCTCACGTCGATCCGATTGCAGAGAGGTGAATCCGATATTCGAGGGAAATCAGCAGCAGGACGCGCACGAGCTTCTGGTCTGCCTGCTCGACAACATCAGAGAGACCTTCCAGCTGCTGGTTAGACACAGAGAGAGCCAATTCGGTCAGAGCAACGGCGTCTTTCCTGAATTTACCACGAACCACTCGGCGACGGACACGCAGTCGGAGAGCAGCGGCTCCGGCAAGAGGAGCATCCGCAAGTCCAGGAAGAAGAAGAAGATCATTAGCCGGGGGAGCTCGGTGTCTCTCGCGCAGCCCAACACAAACGGCGTCGTGGGGTCCGCGAGGCCGTACGAGAACGGCCACGCGGAGTTCGCCGAGAGTAACGGCGAGATAGGGACGCGCAAGCCGGAGAGCAAGAAGTGCTTCATCTCGGAGGACTTTGAGGGCGTCAGCCTGTTGCGCACTACGTGTCTCGAGTGCGAACACGTGACGGAACGGAAGGAGACGTTCTGCGACATATGCGTGCCCATCGACATCGACCGCTCCAACGAGAAAGGTGCGCACTTGGTGCTCGCTACGCGAGATGAAAGTAGAAATATTCCAATGTTGTGAAGGCCCTCAAAAAGAAATTGTATGGAACGGGAAAAGTGCCAATGTGAGCCACAAATGAACGGAAGACGTTATATAACGGATTCATCTCTGTCGACGTGTCTCCAGTCCTCTTTATGTCCGGGAACATTTAGAGAGGAAAAATGAGACCATGATAGAAGAATGATTCTTGAACCATAATTTAACGAGTTATACTGAAGAAGACCCGAAACAGGGTCGAAACGTTTATATTAAAGACAGAAGTTATTTCTAAATTTGTGAGAACCGTCTTCCGTTCATTTGTGGCTCACATTGGCACTTTACCCGTTCCATACGAAAGTTATCCCGCCGTTTGTACGGCACACGTTTCTAAGCCCTGTCCATGAGACTTGCGTTAGTTAAGTATTGGTGTAATGGTTGATCTGCGAATCATAGTAATGTGGCTTTTCTTCGTAGATGAGGACGGTGAATTGGTGGACAGCAGTGAGGTATACAAACGCGCTGTAGTAACTAGTGAACTGCTTTGGGGTAGGGATAAGTACTGGTGTGCACGGTGCCTACGATATAATGAGGCTCGCAGAGCCGTATGTTTTCCCTCCTTACCTAGACTCCTTGTCCTGCAGCTGAAGAGGTTTTCTACTGCCGCTGGGTGAGTCTCTTTTAGCGCGATTAAAAGCAGCAGATGTTAATTTTAACAGATACTTGTTGCAATTTTTGGCACTCGTAAGAGCCAACAGTCTGATCGTGTATTTTCTTTCTTCAAGGAGTTTATCGCGTATTTACCTTTGCTTTAAGCCTTGTGTCCAAATTCTAGCTTCCTTTCCGCAAAAGATGCAAGTTGATTGGCTACACACTTCTCGGACTAGAACTTGGACACAAGGCTCTAGAGTTGCTTTGACAAAGAACCTGTTACGATATCCGCATCACGGTTACATTGAAACTTGCGTTTTCAGTTCGATGGAGAAAATCAATAATCACATGCCGACGCCGCTCACCCTGCAATGCTTCTGCGAGGAGTGTAGCAACGACGAGGCCCACGGGAGCGTGGCTAGCGGTAGCACGGAGACGCGACACGTGTACAAATTATACTCTGTCATAATGCACCAGGGTGCAACGATGACCGCCGGGCATTATGTCGCTTACACGCGCCTACCCGACGAGCCCGTGTACGCGGAGTATTCCCAGTGTGATCGCGACAATAAGCGGCAGAACTCGAGCCAGGCGGGTTCGAGCGCGAGTTCCTCGTCGTCGTCGTCGTCCTCCTCCTCCTCCTCCTCCGACAAGTCGTTGGGCTTATTCAAGTACAAGTTCTTCAGGAGTAAGCCGAGCACGAGCGAGAGCAAGGAACAACCGGTGAACAGGGTCGGCTGTCGCAGCATGGATTGCTGCGGCATCAGGCGAGGCAAGCAGGGCGTCACCTGGCTGGAGTGCGACGACGAGGCGGTGCATGTGATCCCGCTGCGAGAGCTCGAGGACAAATTGGCGCCCAACGCGCGCAACTCCGCCACCCCCTATCTCCTGTTCTACGTGAGGTCGACGACGTAAAGGCCGCCGTTTCTCTCTCGTCTCCCCGCGTCGGAAGTTCAATATCAAAATGTTCCCCGTTTGGAGTCCCACGCGAGGCGGCGGCGGCGGCGAATGACACGACGACGAAAACGGGTCTAGTTTCTTCCCGCGTCGCCCTCCATTTCCTGCCCCCCTCCCACCGCTCTCTATCTTTCCCCTCTATTCTCCAACGACCGTGCTGTGATGTATCGCACATTCCAAATCACCCGAGTTCTTCTTCCTCTATACGTACGTACCGCATCGGGCTTTAGAGATGCGAGCGTGTATTATTTTCGTAGGGAATAAAAACTGTCTACCGCCAGTCATGTAATGTACATACATTAGATTCCCGGCGATCGGACGGTCGCACGTCGAGCCGAGACCTCTGTGCATGTAACGGAAAGAAAGAAAGAAAAGGAAACACCGTCACGGGCTCGGCGTGACGAGTTCACGGAGCGAGCGTCGCGACTCCGCGCGTAGACGACTTTAGCCTTAGTTGGGACGTGGAACGTTTTATTATTGAGTTATCTGTAAAATAATAAAAAAAAAATTATGTATTCTTGACACGCACACCCACACCTGTCTACCACGTGTGCTTGGTGCCGTATCGCGAGATGGAGGCACCTGACCCGACCCCCCCGAGGAAGTCTACGACGCGATGCGACTTTATACCGATGGACGTCATTGGCGACGTAGCTTGAATATTTTAGAACGTCGCTTAATACGAGCGTCCGTCGTTCCGCGCGAGCTTCCAATATGTAATCGATCACGCGCTGAAAAGTGGCGCGATTCAATTTCCGGCGTAGATAAGAGTAAAGCTCGCGCGTATAGCGTTTAATCGATTTCGAGTTAACCGCGGGGTCTGCCGATGCGCGATCGACGGGAGAAGATCTCGTAGCCGGGGACCCGGCCCGATGGGGAAGCCGGCACCGGCCGGAATTTTACCCCCGCCGAATACGCGCGTGCGGAATGACGCGTATCGCGCGGAACATCGCCGTCGCGTACACACGCTGAAATATTTGTATAGTGTCAGCTCAATCATATACGTGGCTACATCCATATATCGATCATTTCCATAGGGGGTCAGTAGTGGAGTAACGTTCCACCTGTCAGTCGGGCACGTAGTAGTGAATACTACTTGCAGGCGTGATACATTCAGTAGTTCGTATCTCTTAGGTGGAGCACGTTCCTACACGGCTATGTTCTCGTCGACGCTCCTCGACTAAGGCAAAAGGCAAGTGGATAGAATAATGAAACATTTAGTCGAGCGGTTTTTACATTTGACGGTCCAATTCGCGAAACGATACGTTGAGCGAGAGAAGCTAATTGCATTTGTTGATTACTTTGGAAGGAATTGTACCAACAATTTTTATCGATCGTTCTTTTTCTTATGTTTATACTTGAATGTAGTTGAGAGTTAAGTTTTATATCTGTTAAAATGTGAGCGATGCATTGATGTGTATCGACATTTATATTATTTCATCGCGTGTTGCATCAAGCAGCTATTAATGAATCTCTCGCAGAGTTTGCATTGTAACTTAATTGCATGTCGATATTCGAATCTTACGCTCCGAGTATTTATATTACTTGCCGTTTAGAATTTCTTAATGAACTTTCTTCTTTGTGTGTATTTTTCCGGGTACACGACGCGTACGAAACGCATTCGCCCGTAATTATTAATTCGTCGAATTCGTTCTCATTATGGTGAGTAAAGTAAGATCGACGGAGATAATTGTGCATTGAACACGCGAGCACACCATTCTCACAATCAGCGAAATTGCGTAAGTCGCGCGCAATTGTTCTCGCGGTAGATCTATCCACCTAGAAGTTATTGGTCGAATCGATGTCGACCCGATGCCGCTAAATCGTCGACATGGTTGATATTTTTCATCTTCAGCCTCGTTGTTTTCGTTTTCACAATGTACGTGACGTCCATTGAGCAATTGCGAGTATTTCCGTGAGATTTCCATTGTCTCAAAAAGCACATTGTATGTACACGCGTATATTTATGTATTCGACACACACGGAGAGTTTTCTTTTAAAATGTATCCTGAAGATTATATAATCGTGGGACCACGCGACATTTCAAAGAACTTGAAAAGAATTTTTTGAGAGTTTACTAGTAAAATGTATTTAAAATTTAAAAACCCTCATAAAGTTCTTGAAACTGCCACGTTGTCCCACGTACGATTTTCAGGATGAATTTTAAGAGGAAATTCTCACCATGCAGAATACACGCCGAAAGACATAGAAATATTCGTAATTATTAATTAACATAGAAACAATTGTGACGAGGCCAAAGATGACAAAGGTATCTGTCGGTCAAAATCGATCTTCCATGGACGCCGAATTGACGTCCGTTCGACTAATCGTCGAGTAAGCACGAACAGTTAAGCCCGTATCAGACTACGGATTGAGATTGGGATTAGATTGAAATTTGACCAATCAGAGTAAAAGTTACTGAACTTGAGATTAGTAAACTTTACTGTGATTGGTTAAATTTCAATCTAGTCCCAATCCCAATCCGTAGTCTGATACGGGCTTTACGTAACATCAATGTTATAATTTTTTACTCAGTGTAGGTCCCGGCGAACACAGAACATTGCAACAACGCTGCGGCAATGTTGTAATATTGCCGCAATTCTGCGTTCGCTGGGGTGTAGGTAATATAACGCATGTACATAAGTAAGGTCCTGCGCGCAATAGAGGAAGCACCCGTGTCTGACGAGTAAACTAGAAAATTATCAATTTTGCGATTTCTCTCCCAACCGAACGCTCTAATTATTCATTTTATCATTACGTTTGTAACAAAAGTATTTTCAAGCGAGCTTCAGAATATTATAAACCGCTTGTAGAAATGTAAGAGTTGCATCCGGGTCTCCTCTACGCTAAATGTCAGTTACGGCAGTTGCCCTCTCGTGTACAGATATTAGGAATAAATATTAAATCCACGCTGTTCAAGTTCACAAGCTAGACCGTAGACATTTTGCGATTGTACAACACAGTTCCTACATTTGTATTCTTGTGTTTGCCGCGTTTCGCTTAATCTCTCCTCGAACGTGTATTGTTATTCTTAATATCACCTCTACTGTGCGCAGGCTCGTGCATTGCGGGCAGAAAATTATAATATTAATGTCAGGTAACTGTTAGTTGTTTACTGGACACTTCTGTGACTGGGTACATAAGAAAGACAGCAGCACCGGTCCCCCTGGCATTCGCCCGATGGAAATCTTAATGCAAATTTCAAACCGTCTTTCGCGCCGCGTACACATTCGCATTCCGCTATCGTTGAACGGACGTAATCGATACGCGCGGGGGCAGAGCCGCGAAGGCAAACGGATGCGACGTGACATATCTGCGCGCGGCTGCCTCGCGCGAACAGCGTGTCACGTGTCGTCGAAAAACGCCCTCGGTTCCCGCCGAGGAGCCGTTCGCTATCGGGACGAATAATCGACCCAAATACGCCCGCGTTTGCTCGCCGTCGGGATCCGACGTGGCGACGTCTCCGCCGCGGCGGCGTTTAAAGCGCACCGCGCGTTCCGCAGTAGGTCACTTATCGCCGCGCGTATAATCACCCCCGGTCTTCCTCCGCGGCGGCAGCGCGCAGCGCGCGCCGTCTCGTGAATGGTATACTTACGCAATACTAGGGTGAACGATAGGCATGAGGAAATGTCGCACGCGTTATTTGACCGCAAAATCGATGGCGCGTTTCGCACACGGGAGTCGCCGGGTTAACGAGTCGCGCGAATAGATATCGAGGCCTTTATAAGCCGCGGAGCAAAGGCGCACGCATTTTCTCCTTTATGTGATAAATAAATGGACAACAGAGGAAAGTCCTCTATCATGAGATAGGATTCTGATACGAGATACGAAGTTTTCAACGTCCTTAATGGCAAATACTTTTTCGCGACGATCCCACGATCTAACAATGAATTGTCCGCTAAACAGTCACACCAAATTCATGGTGGGACCAACGGATGTGATGCCAATTAGCTGAGCAGAAACCCCGATAGGAAAATGTCCCGAATATTGGCGGCAATTTCACAATGATCGCATTAAGGTGATTCGCCAAAACGCGCAGCCCTTACCGAATTTACTCTCAAATTTGGGTGTACATTTTAAAATCTGGGTGTTTACGCTCAAATTTGAGAGTAAATTCGGACGATCGAGTGTTAGCGCTCAAAACTTGAGTGTTTTTTCCGTGAGAGCCGTTTTGCTGATATTACTATGTTAGAAATACATTCTGCAAACATTTATCAATACTCGATGAAGGGTCTCTATTTCTGCATATGCTGTTCGAAAACGCATAATTCCAGCATTCATCCAGTTTCATCCAGATTTCGTCACACAATTCTCTAAATATTTTCCTATCGGGCAACTCCGCTATCTCGTATCAGAAGTCTATCTCATAATAGGGGGACGTTCCTCTACTGAAGAGGAAAAGGCGAACCAGAAATCAGGACGTAGTATATTTCAGTATTATTTGATGATCTCGTGCGTGTCAACGCATTTCTCGTCGTCTGTGAGAAAAAATTAGCTTCACTGAGGACGATCTGAAAAGTGGGTTCTGCGCCTGGCTCGCGTTTACCCTTTTCTTCTTTGATATTGTTTCTACATTGGAGCCTTCGCCAGTTATTTATTAGACAAATCAAATCGCTTTTCATATCTGTCGCTCACATGAAATTAAGGAAATTTTTATGTTCAGCTGGCAAGGCATTTTCTCGAGGCGTTGTGCTCTCTGTCTCACTTTATGTTACTCAAATCGTTACTCATATTTGTGCAATCGTCCTTTAAAGGAAAGTCACTCCGTGAATCATTTCCATTTTTAACCGCTGTGCTCGTTGCAGGAATATTTAAATCGAATTAATTATCGCTATGAAGCACCAACAAGTAACCGTAGACATGACGAACATGATATTTACCGCTTGCTCCTACCTGGCACTCGCCGGAGCGGTCTGGATCTTCCTCCGGCTCATCCAGGCCTGCTTTTGGCTGCCGAAGCATTTGAAGAGGCAAAATGACGTTCAGAGAATGCTGCAGGATAAGGTAAACTAGACTGTTCCTCGGCTCAACTTTGATCCCTCGTTCTCTTTTTTCTTGGTCGACGCGCGATGATTATTGAAGACTGTAAATTTTACAATCATTAATCAAAATTGCGTTTGTCCGATTCCCCATTATTAAAAAAATGTAAGCATTAATCGAAATGAAAATTATTTATTTGAATCTCCATATCTTAAAATGGCTCGAGAGACATTTAATATAAGAGGCTTCCGACATTTTTCGTAATAAATTATAAATGTGGCTCTTTTAGGTGGAAAGTTACGAGAAATACGTGCTAGAGTGCGAGGAGAAGGAGAGGGTGGAAATGGATCAGCTCGACGACGAGAAGAAGAGACTCGAGATGTCGGAGAAGTGGAAAGAGCGAAGGGAGTGCCTCGACATGCTCAAGCGGGAGCTGGACCGAGTCCGCGAGGGTAAAGACATGTCCGATTGGGACGCCTTGCTGGACGAGGAGCTGAAGAAGCACGAGCTGGAGCTCCTGCAGGAGGAAGAGGAGTTGAAAAAGGAGAATGCCGAGAAAGAGAAGAGCGACAGTGAGAAGGACGTGAGCAAGGCCGAGATCGATACCGATACCGAGCCGAAAAAGAAGAAGTAACGACCGTCTGTGTTTTCGAAAGTGCCTTACCTTAGACTTTCAAGTTAAAGAAACGATTGCGCGAGAGCAAAAATCTTCCCTCGGGCAAGTAAATTTTCGAAAATATTCACGATGTGGCGCGTAACGATCAAAATGACTGAGCGGCGTACAATCGATACAATCGACCCGAAGGATACTGGAATCGTTCGGGTTAACTGTTGTAATTTTATTGGCGATCTAAAACTTATTCACTTTGTTAACACATAGAGATCGTGGTCTTATCAATTTTCGACAATCGTCACGAATGAGAAAGGTAATTTACATCGCGTAAATGACATGTGACCGATGTAGGAAGTATCTTCCGTGTAATAACGATCGCGTTACGATCAACAGGGAGATAAATGGTAAGCGAGCGCATGCATGTCACGCGTGTACAACGTGCTGTTTCCAGAGCAGAAATTACAAATAAATTGTTCTATAGATATACATTATAATTATAAGGAAAGCGACAGCTCCTCTTGACATTCAACAATTCCTTCGAGAGCGGCAGTCAAGTATTGTACAAAAAGATGGTACAAATCGGCGGAATTCGTTTCGCCGTTACTCCGCGATCGATATGCAGAATAAATCGTGAACGTCTACCTCGACGGACTCGCGCCCGCTTCTAATACATGTCACGTTTATCGATATTCTCTCTACGTGCGCATTAATAATATACATCATCAATTTGCTTAATCGCGACGGGGCGGCGGCGGCGCGGAGCTTCCTCGGTGGAACCCAAAATAAATAATGCAGCCGGCATCATATTGATATTCACATGTATCTTCATCGCGACGGGCGAGCGGGGCGAGGGCGATATATTACGGGACGTTACGTTGACTTCTGTGTTCTCAGGCGTGCGGGATATCTCGCGAGAGGGTTTAGATAGAGACGTAGAGAGTACACGTTTTCGCAAATAATTGTAAGGGAACAATTGATTATATATAAACGATTCTACCGCAATCTAACGACAATGCATATTTGTGTGGCGTGCAATTTGTTGACTCTGTGTTTTTGTATTGTATTAATGTTATATACGAGGCGTGACACGCAACACACATACACGCACACGCAACAATCTCTATTGTAGAATCAATAAAGTGATAAGTAATTAGGATATTTCGAGCACCGGCGTCTCCATTCTGGCGTCTCCCTTTCGCGTTAGTTTACGAGCGATTTGGGGCAAAGCGCAGCTGACTCGCACCGGCATTCGAACGTGGACATTATTTCGAGGCGCTCGATGAGCCGCAGCTGCCTGTAATTAATTCCACGATTATTCTCCGACTTGGACAGGCAGGTGCGTGCGTCGCCTTTTACCTGCCGGTGCCGTCCGGTCGCGACGGAAGTCAAGGTCGTCGACGAATTTAAAAAGCAGCGTTGTTTGCTGGCGCTGCTCCAACTGGAGCGACGACTATTTTCTTCGGGGAGCTTCGTAAACGAAAGGGAGATTTAGGAAGAGCACGCCGCGCCATTTTGTGCAACGTGCCCCGAATTTACAAGTTTTTCGGCCTATTCCCCGAATTTATTCGACCCGATAAACATTTTTTCTATACAAAATGTATATAATTGCGTGCAAAATGTGTGAAATATATGTTTTCTTTTTTTTATACGTTCTCTGTTCGCGTGTATATGGGAAGAACAATTGGGAAGTAATTGGAAGAATAATTCTTGCATTGTTTTTTTCTTATTTGATTGCGATTAGATTGTACGACAATTTATGGTTATATTTTATATGCGACTATTACATTTATACATATTTTTACGAATATACATAGAGGTGTGTAAAACATGGTTTCACGTGGTCGAATCGAATCTTTTCATGTTTGAATTTGAATCAACGGATTCAACCTCGACCAAGTTTCAGTGAAATTGTTAATTTCAAAAAATGATTTGTTTATTCCGTCACGAAGGAGACGATCCGTAAAAAATTACCGATTCGAGAACGAATCGACGATGATCAAAATCACGGAATTATTCGAATTCGAATATTTTTTATTAAAAAGTTGAATCAAATCGAAGCGTTTGATTTTAGTGATGCAGTTTGATTCGACTCGAATTCGAAACGAATTGTAATACAGTGATATTAATTTTTTCTCATTTCCAATTACCGTGGCATTTATTACAAAAAAACAATGCCAAAATTATCCTTTCAGTCATTCTTCTTTTTCTCATTTTTCCTGTATACACAAATAGAAATTATAGAAGAGAGAAAAACCACGTGCAAAATATCGTGCGGCCATTTTGATAGTAGTCTGCCGCGTCATTTTTAACAGAGAAGCTTGAGAGCTGCCACGGCCCCGTTTCTCGTGATTGGCTAAAGACCCTAGGTATCTCTAGAGACTTCTAGGGTCTCTAGTGATTGGCGAATGCAATGCGCCCTCTGTGGACATGAACTACGTAGCCAATGTCTACGTCTGGGCCACAGCGGATAACGCGGATGTGCACGTTTTGGTTGTGTTCCGTGCGATGCGCACGATATGTCGATAAAACCGGAGTTATTGATTTTTCGTTATGCGAGCGAACAGGCCGAACGGGGACCAACTTGTAGAGGCCCTCCACCCCGCCGAATTTTTCCCGGCGATCCTCTTTTTCTTCGCAATAATTGTGTTTTCACATTCTTATCGTTTATCCAATCTGGCCCAACGAAGAGAGACTAGATGCGACGAGGTAAGTGGTCAATATTGGCCTGATGGAGTATGTGTTGTACGAAATAAGTTGATTTCTTCTTATGTGCCAAAATTTGGGTGGGTTATAGTCTTATCTTATTTACATATTCTCGCATATGTGCAAGATTAAAAAGACCTCTATTAAATCGCGCGATTAATCCTGGTCCAGTCGAAAACGCTAAAAGAGAGAGATAAAGAGACAGACAAATAGATAGAAAGCTAGGGCCGTGGCAGCTCTCAGGCTTCTCTTTGATACAAGATCGCTTTTGCCCCGTCGAGATTATCTCGATTTGTCGCACGGACGAACATCAATTATACTGTACAGACCATCGATTATCCGCGCAAAATATCGTGCGGCCATTTCGATAGTAGCCTGTCGCTAGTACCGCGTCATTTATAATAACTCTCAAACTATTGCGGCAGATATACATTGTGGAAACAAGCATAAAAAGTATCGAGTAATCAATATAAAACAGACCGAATTCGATCTGCGATTATACGACAATGAAACTATTGCGTTTACGAATTGTCGATCGAAATCGCGATCGGATCTATTAGGATACAATCGATCTGAGCTTTCAACAATTGCGTTTTTCTCATTTTCATTTCTCTCTCTTTCTTTCCTTCTCTCTCTTCGCTTGCTATCTCCAAACGAGGGTAGCTGCGCTGCGCAATTACCGACGGTTACCGGCAGCGGCGAGTTGGCGCGTCCGCCGCCAGACGGCAGCAATGGCGCGAGTCGTCGTCGCGCGTCGTCTCGGTGACGGCCACCGGATGGCGCGCGCGGTGCCTGCGGCCGGCGCGGCGGTCGCCTAGCGTGGCGGCCTAGCGCGGATTGCGGAATCGGGAAGGTAGGACGTAGGTAGGGCGCAGCGCGACCCGCTTCCACGGGGTGAGCAGCGTCCCCGCGTGCCCGTGTGTGCATGTGTTTCGGTTACCGTTCGTCCGTTCGCGTCGTGTCGTGTCGTGTTGTGTCGCGCGGCGCGATAAGCGGGGCCGGGAGTTAGGCTCGCCGTCGACGACGTTGATCGCGTCGTCCCCAGCGGCGATGCCGACCGCCGCCGCCGCCGGCGTACGGCGCGTCGCGCTCGCGTGAGCCGCCGTCCTATGTACAGACTCGTCGCGCACCCGGAGGGCACCGGCGAGGACGACGACGACGACGACAACGGCAGCGGGTGCCATGCCGCGGCGCGGCCCACGAGGAACGTGGCGAACGACAACGACAGCGACGACTCCGCCGCGTCGTCCTGCCAGCTAGGACGACACGCCGCCACCGCCAAGTAAGTGATCGAACCCGTCGAATCCCGAACGCCGTCGACGCGGCGACGCTCGCCGAGGCGGAAGGAGTCGCTCGAAATTCTATTTCGATTCAGCTGCGGGGGCTATTAATAGCGAGTTTTCCGCGACGCGCGACACGCGCGCGGCAATTTAAATCCGCTCCCGACGAGGGGCGGATTTTTAGAGGCGCTTCCCCTGCGTCTCGCGCGTGCACAGCGCTCCTCGTCCCGCGTTTGGCGCTGCTTGCAGCCTCCCTTCCACCCCTTTGCCCTCTAGACGTAATAACAAATAACGCGGGGGATTCTCCACGCCCGGGACAAGTCGGGCAAAAGTATCCCCGTTCTTCCTTTCCCTCCTTTTTCCTTTCGATACCGCGAGGATAAATGCGTGCACGTGGAGAGAATAGAAATTTTAATCGCCGACTCGATTGGCGATGCCGTTCGCGCGTCCAGGAAACTCGCGCCGACAATCGGTTCTGCTCTGGACGTACGACGTGACATTGGGGGGGGGGGGGGAGGGAATAACGAGGGGTTGAATAATAACAAAGTCAAGTCTTTTGCGCATGCATCGCGAGCGCCGTCACTGCTGACGCGCGGGGCGCCCTCGGCTTCGCGGGGCACCTCGCGATCGATGCCGCTCGCGTGTCTCTTGACGATCTCGATGCAGAATCTCAACTTGGAAACGGTTAACGAAACGCAGCGAGAAGGTCAAGGACTCCTCCGCGCGGCCGCGATTTCTTTTTTTACGGCTCCGCTTACGGGACAGGATGCGGGATCTGTCGCGAGAGCCGATCTCGCGAGGGTCGCGTCTCGATCGAGGACCAAGGAGTTTCGGATTTCGATCCGGTTCCCGTCTCGATCGCCTTCCGCGTAAAATCCGCGCGCGCACACGGAGAGAATGTTTTTTTTTCCTCTTAAAGATTATCTCGAAAATCGTGTCGTGGCATTTTGAAGAACTTTATGAGAGTTTCTTGAAATTTTACTAGCGAAATGTGTGGTGAAATTTTAAAAAACTCATAAAATTCTTCGAAGCGCCACGTTGTCCCGCGATCACGTGATTTTCAGGACAAATTTTCAAAGAAAATTCTCCCCGTGCATCGTTGATCGAATCGCGATTGTTGACTCGCAAGCTGCTCCGACGTATCTAATTGTGCAGATCGATAACTCGGATTGACGCAAGTAGCAGAAACATTCGCAGAGATAAAGCACCGATTAAGAGGTAACTGCGCGAGGCCAATGTCGCTCTACCGAGTTTTAATCCTTTCACTCATTTTCGTCCCTAGCGTATGCATACAGCGTTGAATTATTAGAAAGGATTCGTCTCAGCCCCTTGAATTCTCAATCTCGTCGGCCGCGAAGCCTCGCCGAATCTGTTTTAGAGAACATTTATTTTTATTCGTGTTATTTTCCTTTGTTCCAAAGAACAAAGTCCCCTATTATGAGATACGCTCCTAATATGAGACAGAAGGGTTTCTGCTAAATTAATAAACATTATTTATTGGTTTTATTATTTATTACTCTTGGAGTAAAATTCGTTTAATGGCACATTCATCGTTAGATCGTATAATCGTCGCGAAAGAAGATTTGTAATTGAATTTGGATGTTGCAAAGCTGCTAACTTAATAGATATTATTTATCGGTTTTATCATGAAGCTTATTGCTCTTGGAGTGAAATTTGTCTAATGGCAAATTCATTGTTAGATCGTTGCGAAAGAAGATTTGTAATTGAATTTGGATATTGAAGACTTGCTAAATTAATAGACCTTATTTATTGGTTTTATCATTTATTGCTGTTGGAGTGAAATTTGTCTAATGGCAAATTCATTTATCATGAAATTTTTGCTTTTGGAGTGAAATTTGTCTAATAATAAATTTATTGTTAGATCGCGCAATTGTTGCAAAAGAAGATTTGTAATTGAATTTGGATATTGAAGACTTGCTAAATTAATAGACATCATTTATCGGTTTTATCACGATACTTATTGCTCTCGGAGTGAAATTTGTCTAATGGCAAATTCATAGTTAGGTCTTTGCGAAAGAAGATTTGTAATTAGATGCTGAAAACCTGCTGTCTCGTATTAGAAGCCTATCTCACAATAAGGGACTTTCCTCTATAACACGACACTCTGCAGTCGCACGCGATAAATACGCGCGACTTGTGCTCGCGCGACGATCGAGGATTGACGCGGACGCATCGATTCCGCCGCGATGACGCTCGCGGCGTTATGCGTTATGCATTATTGCGGCATCGGCGGGCGCAGGTTCAACGATTCGACGGACGAGGCTCGGCGCGCCTTGGGCTTTTTGTCACGCGGACAATAAGGGTCGAGCACGGCTGTCAGGTGACCGACGGCGCCACGTCGAAGGTCGACGACCGTTGAACTCTGACCGTGCATATGACATCATTGATGCGCAAGCTCCATCGCGGAATCTATTTCTGCTTCGACGGAGCGTCCGCGAGCGGGTGAATTCTCCGACTGTTTGTCCGCCGACTCTGATGGGCGAGCTTATCTCGCTTTGGAGATGAGAAGCTTCTTCGGGCCGCAGCTTGGCGGAGGTGTAAATGGAAAATAAAAACTTCGCTCTCGGGTTAATGGCTGTCGACTTCCAACTTGGACAAATTGCAGTCAAGACCTACTTGCCAGGGTGTTTAATGACGAAAGTTCGGCTATGACAACTAATGATCCTTTCCGGCTTTGCCGTTAAGTGATTATCGGAGGAAGCTCGTGGGTTTCTTGATTAAATTGTACTAGCAGTACTTAGCGGTGGATTTTACAATAGCTTCTGTAAATCTCGATACATCGTTTATTTCCATACAATTATTACCTTGCTCCACGTGTTTGGTAATACATTGTAAAATTGTTTGGTCGTAATTTCTATTAAATTCAGTGACCTTTGAGAGTGTTACTTTATGCGCAATATGATAGAACATTATTACAGAATTTATTTCTAAATTTCTCGTGACGCACATCGCTAATAAATTAACAATGTATCTTGTACTATTAAAATTATCTCTATTTTTAGAGGAAAGTGTCCTACAATGAGATAGGATCCTAATATGGGATAGTGGGGCTTCTGTTAAATTAATAGGCATCGTTATTTCATCATGAATTTATTGCTTTTGGAGCGAAATCTGTTTAGTGGAAAATTTATTGTTAAATCGTGTAATCGTTGGGAGAAAAGATTTGCGATTGAATTTGGATGTTGAAACCGATCTCATAATAGATTGCCTTCGTCTAATAATATCCGAGTATTTTGGATTATACAATTTGAATAATGTATGCATTGCGGATTGGTGCTTTGAAGGAAAAGCAATTTTGAAATAAAAATCAGCTATGTGAACTAGTTTTCGGCACATCCGGGCAATACGGTATAATTGCTAGTACATGTAATTGCATTGATTTGCTTAGCGCCCTCTCGATTCGTTCTTCAAATCGTGGGAGAGAATTCTCGAATTCCATTTGAATTTATTTCGCATCACGCTCGTCATGCAAATTGCATGTAGAGAGCCCGGATGACGGTTAAAAGTAACAATATATCGCGATAGTTAATGATATTTCGAAAATTAATATATCGTGATATATTTCAAAAATTAATCTACGAATTTATCAATTTCTGTATTCAGTAGTATGCAAATTGTGCGCAAATGTCGCATGATACTACGGTGTTTTTTAAAAGAACAAGGACGAAAGTTAAAAAAAAGAATAATTTATTCCTTTTTTTTTACAAAAAAGTTAAAGTGATTTTTAACAGTTTAAAATAATGGGCGATGTATCGCATAAACTTCGCTTTTGAAACATATATGGATAAAAGTCGATAAAATAAAAACTATCATATAAAGTTATACATAGGCCCTCGGTTATTTTATACAATAGTTTCAATTTCACCGAATTTATCCATGTGTATTTCAAAAGCAAAACTTATATCGTAAATCGTCCATTATTTTGAACTTTTAAAATCGTGCATCGTTTTCAACCTTGTTGTGACAAAAGAGAAAATTTTTATTCTTTCCTTTCGTCACTTCCATTCTTCTTGTTTTCTTTTTTTAATACAGTATTATCGTATCACATTCGGATCCTCAGATCGAAAAGAAATGACATAAAATAACAGTTATATACAATATTTTATTATAACATAGACTCGTGCAAAGATATTAGTTGTCAAATAATCGTATTTTGACTATTAATTAATTGATATTATCACGTAACTTATCGATTCTGTTTCCTAAATTCCAACTATCTATATGAATTTTCTCATCGTATTATGTATATGCAGTGTCTCACAATCAATATTTTAATAGCGTATTCTACGAGTTAACTTTTTGTTGAGAATATAACAATTTTCGAGCTAAACGATTAAAATTGACCAACGATTTCACATAAAATTCGCGTACTCACATTTACAACCGATTACATGTGTATCAGTCTATGCATATATTCTGTTATTGACTTTTATAGCTCAATTAATTTTTACTGTCGATTTTATCTCGTCGTGTCTTACGTGCAAATATTATACACATTATAACAATCAGTTGAAATTTTCAGCAGTGAACTTTTTTTTATGTTATAATCGGTGAAAATAATCCAACTAAAATAGCTATCAGTCAAATGTTAAGTTACATTTATATTTTAAGACTAAAGTTTATCTTTACTTGCAATGTGAAGCAAAAGTCATAATTTATTACAACGAATTTCTATGTCTCAAGAAAAGTTGT